CGATTGCTCTGGTTTCTCTCTTCCCCCCACCCCCCTCCGTTTCCCGTCTCAGTCTCTTACCCGGACGTCTTGCAGTGCGTCAACGTCACCATCTTCTCGACGGCTGAGTGCAACCGGTTATACCCCGGTTCCATCACCGAGAACATGCTGTGCGCCGGGAGCCTCCAAGGCGGTAGGGACTCCTGCCAGGTACGGCCAAAATGTCCCCCCCTCTGCCGTTGCCAGTTTTCCACCGGGGGCCGTCTCCAAGGCGGACCCTGGGGGCAGAAGGGGCCGTGTCCCCTCGTCATCACAATGGGGGTCTTCCTCTCTTGGGCAGCCTAACGGTGGCTCATGAACCCAATGAGGGTTGGCCAACCCGGTGAGGTTCTTCAACCCAACAAAGGTTGGCTGACTCAAGTAGAATTGGCCAACTCAAGTAGAATTGGCCAACTCGGCAATGGCTGGAAAACCCAAAGGGATTTGGCCAACCCACTGGCGTGGTTGACCGACCCAGTGATGTTCTTCAGCCCAAACAAGGGTTGGCCAAATCATACTTAGTTGGCCAACTCAACAACAGCTGGCCAACCCAAGGGGGGTTGAATAACTCAGTGTTGGTTCTTCAGCCCAAGAAGGGTTGGCCAACTCAAGTAGGGTTGGCCAACTCAAGTAGAATTGGCCAACTCAGCAATGGCTGGAAAACCCAAAGGGATTTGGCCAACCCACTGGTGTGGTTGACCAACCCAGTGACGGTTAAACGAGGCGCCAAGCATTAGCTGACCCAATGGGAGTTGGTCACCCAACGCAATGATGGTGGAACAACTCCAGGGTTGGACAGCCCAAAGTCAAGTGTTGCTTAACCCAATCGTAGATTATCAACCCCAAAAAGGTTGACCAAACCAGTAGGAGGTGACCAATCCAATTGGTGGAACAACTCCAGGGTTGGACAGCCCAAAGTCAAGTGTTGCTTAACCCAATCGTAGATTATCAACCCCAAAAAGGTTGACCAAACCAGTAGGAGGTGACCAATCAGGCAGTTGGCCAACCCAACGATGGCTGGCCAACCCAATGATGGCTGGCCAAGCCAACGGCAGTTGGCCAACCCAACGATGGCTGGCCACCCCAATGATGGCTGGCCAAGCCAACAACAGTTGGCCAAGCCAACAACGGCTGTCCAACCCAGAGAGGTCACCCAACCCAATGAGGCCCAACAATGGTGGGTCAAGCCACAGGGAGTTGGCCAACCCAACAAGGGTTGGGTGACCCAGTGGAGAATGGCGGGTTCACACCACATCTTTCCGTAGGGTGACTCCGGAGGACCTCTGGTTTGCAACGGGACCCTCCAAGGTATCGTGTCCTGGGGCATGGAGAAATGTGGGCAGCCCAAGAGACCTGGTGTCTACACCAAGGTCTGTAGATACGCCCAGTGGATCCAGAAGACCATGAAGGACAACTAGTGACACTCCAGCAACCTCCACGTGCCCAGGGGGAGGGCGGAGGACCACGTCCGCGCTACCACCGCTCACCGGGGCAGGACGCTGGGACAACTGAGGCTGTGGCGAGGTTGTGGGTAGAGCCAGGGTCACCTGGTGAAGCTGGTGAGAGGGTGGGTGGGACGGAACGAGAAATTAAAGCGTTGTGATGTTTGGTGGGAAATTTTGTCCTTTCAAGCTGCCCCCCACCCCCCCCAAAAAAAAAAAAAAATTAGATTTCACGATCAATCCCAGACATTGCTTCTCCTCCGGGGTCATCCAGTGTCCACTCACAGCCATGGACTTCATTTTGAGGTCAGAACCTTCCCGCCATCCCCAAAATACGCGACTTTACAGGAGGAGAAGTTGATTTTATTTGAAGACAAACCTCGTTTCCTTCACTCACGCTCTCCTACCTGTCATCTCCCAAGGACCAAGACATGTGGCTGCGGTGGCCTAGTGATGGCACTGAGGACGTGGAACGCTGGTGGACAAGTCCTCCAACCCAAAGGGAGTTGGCCAACTCAACAAGGGGAACCAACCAAAGATGGTTGCCCAACTCAATCACTGCTGGCCATCCAGCAATGGCCGATCCAATAGGAGATGCCCAATGGGGATGAAGAACCCAACGAGCACCAGCCAATGCAGCAAGGGTCACCCCATCGATGAGGGTCACCCAACCGATGAGGGTTGGCCAACCCAACAAGGGTCAGCCAAGCTGCTGATGGTTGACCAGCCTGAGGAAGTTGGTCACGCCAATGAGGGTCACCCAACTGATGAGGGTTGGCCAACCCAACAAGGGTCAGCCAAGCTGCTGATGGTTGACCAGCCTGAGGAAGTTGGTCACGCCAATGAGGGTCACCCAACTGATGAGGGTTGGCCAACCCAACAAGGGTCAGCCAAGCTGCTGATGGTTGACCAGCCTG